AAAACAAGACATTTCATTTCATGTAGATAAATTTTTGGCCAAATTGGGTATAACTTCTGGCCATTTCCAAAGTTACATGAAATGCCCAAAAACACACTTAACCACACTCAAATTTCCAACATTCTACCAAAACAAGAAGTTTATAAATGCCAAATTCAAAAAGTAAAGTGCAACAATAACACATCCAAGTTTACAGAATGCAGTCTGCATTTTCTTTTCCAACAAATTCTCCATTTCATGCATCCTCTTTTCCACCTTATTAATTTTAGACAGTTGATCACAACCAACTTCTTCCATTGGTTGATTAGTTGCAGTTTCCTCTATCCCCTCGTTCACACTAACACTTTGCCTTTGCCTCGTTTGCTCAACCTCTTCCTCATTACTATGCTTCAACTGCTTCCTTAGCTCAGAATTTTCCCTTAACAGTTTCTTCCTTTTGTTATAGAGGTACCAAATAACATCTTTGGCCCTTTGAGTGAAGTCTGTATCATGCCACACAAAGTAACCACACTTCTTCGACACATCCTCTTCCTGTAACCAAATTGAGCATATAAAATTATTGTTCAAAACTGAAAGCCAAAATAATAATAATAATAATATTTTTTTGAAAGTGAAACCCACCCTAAAATTTGGACATCCATAAAAGCGACGACCTGGATTTGACTCCCTCCATGCAATCCACCGTGGAGCAAACTTACCACAGTCGCAATGGCGAATGGGTGGTGGGTAGTCGTACTCGGAAATACCATCATATAAGATGAAAGGAGGATGGCTAGACGAAGTCGATGCACCACATGAAGTAGAACCTCGTGAGAATGAATTTCCATATGTCATCGACATTTCTCTCTTATCATAAATTGGGGTTAGGGTTCAGGAGAAGACAGTGAAAGAGGAAGATCGTGGAAAAGCTCAGTGAGGATTAAGAGGAAAATGAAGACAAACCCTAAATCCCCAAAATGGTTTTGCAGATATGTTTTAATTGGGTTTTTAGGTTTTGCTTTTTTTTTTTTTTAGTGGGACGCGGGGACAAGCGGGAAAAGTCCTGCGCAGTGGGCCCCACTAAACATGTGGACGCCACATCATCAAAAAGTAGATCCATATCTGAACCTAACGAATAAGAAAACGCCGCATGTGCCACGTCAAGTTCTGGGTGCCACGTAGTGCATTTTTTAATGGTGCCGTGACAACCCATTAAAATATTGGGTTTTTCACGGGTTTTGAAAAGTGGAGGGTGTGAATAGGAAGGAAAAATTCTGAAAGGTGTTGACCGCGGAAAAAAAATAAATGGAAGGTGCAAATAAGAGCTTTAGCCAATCCATTAAGTACCTTCTCACCTCCTTAATTTTTCTTCATTAACTTTTTGATCGGCATACAATTTTTCTATCGAATGCTTCTTACACTAGA